GAAAAACATCTTTGGGACAGTACCTCAGGATGTATCCCACGGGAAAGACACCAGGTGTTAATCTTTATTGTGAATTCCACTGTTTTTCACCATATTATCACCCTGGGAGACTTCCTCCCTAACTGAAGCTGTAGTCAGCTTGTCAGCCTGGGAATGGACCTGAGAGTCAGGAGAAATCCAGGCCTGAAAAAGAATTTCCAAGCTGTAATTCCCTAGCTCTCTAAATGTGTGTGTCCACAGAAGGGCTATGGAATTACATTATTGAGGGCATTAATAATCTCTGGGACACACTGTAATTTGCTTTCTATTAATGAACGTGCATGTAAATAATGTAGTAAAGGACTGCACATAGAATGTTAAAAATCTGCAGTTTGTGCCTGGGTGTTCTTTTTCCCCACGGATCTGCTGTATCTTTTATAATTCAAAGCTTTGCATCTGAAGCACTTCTTGCTGCTGAAATGTCTTCTCTAGCGTGACCCCATGCTCTGATCCTTAGTTTGCTCAGAGCCAACCTCAGACCAGCTGCCTTGTGAGCACTGCCTGCTCCTCTCAAACCCTCGTTTTAGTTTTCATGTTCCTACGTTTTGTCAGGTGCCAGCTGGCACCGCAGCTGCGCTGGTGGCACTCAGAGGAGCCCAGGGTCACTGTGAGCTCAGCTGGGCACTGGCTGCTGCAGGGTGGCACCAGCAGCCACAGGGAAGCTGGGAGGCGTTTGTCACGTTGCTCTTGAGGTGATTCCACTGTATACTCATGGAGCAACACGAAGAGACTTCTAGTTTTCTGTATCTCTGCCAAGCAGAACGTTACTACAGAGCATCGTCATTCAGCTGGAGTAAAGGGAAATAAAGGCTGAAAATGTTTGCAGGATCACAGAACTGTTGACTCTTTCAAACCCCTACAAAAGTAAATGATTGAACAAGTCTACAGCTTGGGTTCAGCTGTGGATGTGCAGCTCAAGCTGTAATTTTCTATTCTGAGATAAACTCTGGTTATTGTTTAATGAAATAGAAAGTCAAGGCTTTAAATTGCAAGCAATTCAGATGTTTTTCTTCCACAAGATTGTGTAGCATTTTTTGTTTTGTCTTCTGTCTTCTTGTGTGAATATCTAAAAGTTTACTGTGATAAGTCCAAGTGGCAGAGAACATTGTTTCTTCTGGCACGAAGAGAACAGCCAGGTACTGTTTCTCCAGGTTCAGAAAGCCTGAAAGGAGGGGGGAAGTAAGTCACACTGATGAGTTTGAAATAATTTCTGACTGATGCTTGTAGTGCTGTTTATATCCATGCATTCAATGTCTGTCTAATGCATTACAATGGTGATTCTTAAAAACTCAACAAATTCTGTTCCTCTTAGTACACAGAAACTGCCCTAGAATTTTCCTTGTTATCTGTTTTTGGATCCTGTTTTGTTGGCAGCATGGTACAAGCTATAGCTGGCACCCGCATGATGCAGTGCTAGGCTTTTTGTAAAAATACACTGGAGTGTATGTGGGTAGGGCCATAGCCTCTGCAGTTGCTCTATTTGTAGCATGGCTCCTTCATCTTTTGCATGTTTCTGTATGTGATATTTGGGCAGATTTTAACAAACCTGGCTTAGGGTCTGAAATAACAACCAGCATCGTATCAAAGCACTTAGCATATTATGAAAGGAACATGCTTATACAGAAGGAGTATTTATAGCTAGCCCTTTTGACTGATGTAAGGAAAAGGTATTCTGAAAGTATTTGAAATATCTACAGATTTTTATACCATGTCAAAGTGCTCAGAAATCTCACCATGGAAGCCTATATTGATAAAAACAGCTCCCCCCTGAGTTTCTGGGGATTCTTGTGACGTGAAGGCCATGAGAATAAGGGTTTTTTTCCACTGTGTTGTTGGACTATAAAGAACAGGTATGCTATGTTCATCAGGATCTGGTGCAGAGGGTCTACCCTTAGTAATGCCGTGAAGTTTTTTAGGGAAGACAGATCAAGTGTTTCAGCAGATAAGTCGTGTGCAACCCATGCAATGTCACGAACCTCAACTGCTAAACTGGACAAAACTGTTATAAGAAGTAACCTGGGTTTTCTCATAACTAAGCACTTGAAATATCAAGGAAAATGAAAGTGGATTTTATTCCTCCTAAGTGCAAAAGAGCCATTGGAAATGTTTTTAGACAGGCAAACTATAGATTCAAAAATACGTGTAACAAATTTATCTCAAACAAGACACGTTTATTTCCTCACTCATTTGCTTCAGATACACTTTTAGCTAGCTTGTTTTCTGAGATCATAAGTTGCAGACATTGAAAAGGAGAAAGCAGAAGACTAATAGCAGTGATGGCAGAAACACCACTTATCTGCTTATTAAATGAAAACTGTTTTGCTTCCAAGTTCTTAAGTGCTACACTTATTTAATCTGGTTTGCCCAACCTCTCTTTTTAAGTCATTTTTTCTGCTCAAAATTGCAAAGAAATTTTTTGTCAGAACACTTTGTTGGTTTAGATAATAATTTTTTTTTGTTGGTTTTGTTCAACCCGTGAAATAAAACATTTTCAGGTTGAGGGTTGGCCCTCATTAATTGGAGTTTCAGGGAGCAGAAAATGGGAATGCTAACAGAGTATCTTCAAATAAATCATGATTAATTGCACGCAGAAATACTCTGACTTCATTTGTGTAAGCTTAACAAGCCTTTACTTCTACAGTTTCTGCTGTTCAAGAATAAAACTGAGAATATGTAGCATCAGTATCTGTTTGAATATACCCCTGGTCCTGCTTTCACTGCTAGAAAGCACAAGCACTGGTTCTGCTGCAATCTGTTGTTGGCAGCTATAAAGAGCTGTTGATGAGAGCAGACTGGATCCCAAAACTGAGGATCCTCTGTGTACAACATGGATACAGATCTTCCTCTCCAGAGTCAGTGAGCATCATGCTTTTTTGACAGAGAATTCTTCTTTGTTCACCTTTGTTTCCCTGCTGAGTGCCATTTGCCCTGCTTTCTCTTTTAAAAACAGCCTTTTCCAATTCCCTACCTGTTGCACAAAGGTTTTCACAACATTATTTGGCCATCTGTAAGTTTCTTGTTGCCATTAAACCAGCCTGCACAACATATCTTTCTGTGCTGTTAAAATTGGTTGGAGTATTTCTGTCTGTGCCCTGCCACACTTGGGACTTTGGAGGCCCAGCCATTTTGCAAGGCAAATTTCTTTCCTGCTCACTGCTGCCAGTGTGCAATTCTGGTTTGCTCGGGGTCCTTCCTTTCAAAAGTCACTCTTGCCATGTTGGCTGGTGGAAGGTGCCCATTTGATGGGGAGGGAGAAGATAAAGGGTCAAAAGAGTAATTTTCATGCTTTAAGCTGCTATCACTGAAGTGATGCAACAGACTTGCTGTATCAGCCATCGGTTAAGCTGCTACACCACTTTACTGTTCATCAGCTTCGTCATTGTGTTCAGCATTTGGTGAAGGTTATCCAGGAAAAGGAGATTGCAATTTGTGGAGACACACTCATGTGGAAGTGGTGGCCAGAGGAGCCCAGCTTAGCCTCAATAGAAAATGCATCCACAGAGAACAGCTCCCCTGGCTCTGATTTGTAGCGTTTTTCTTTAACCAAGGTTAAGTCAGAAAGCACAGCTGCCTTCTACTGCTTTGTCGTACTTCACAACTAAGGAACGAGAAAAGCTTTCTTCTTAACAGCTTGATGTAGTCAAGATCTAAGAAGCCCCAAATTCTCTGTAGTTGTGTTGTTGCTGCCAACTTGCAGACCCATTTAGGGGCATTATGCTTGATCAGTCTGTGCTTCTTCTGCGTGGAAAAGCTTTTGTGGGAGTCAGCTGGGTTTTGTTTTCCATGCTCCATTCTGAGCAGCACAGTCTGAAGATCTCCTAGTTTTATGCTGATAAAGGTGCCTTCCTTCTGAACTCATGTAATACAGTGTGGTTCTGTGGGTCCAATACTTAGCTGGATGAGATAGGGTGTCAAACCATCTGTTCTGAGGGTTTTTTTTTTTTTTCTGATTCCAATTAGTTTTTATAAATTTGATCTGTGCCTTTGATGATATTTTTCATGTCCTTCCTTTTAAGGGAAGTAAAGGCAAAGGCAATGCTTTGATCTGTTACCAGTTCCATAGATTCCTATAAAGTTTTTTTGAGTTTTTGGTATTAGGGAAAAAAGAAATTTCAGGGCCTGTTTTTAAAAACAGATTATCAACTGAGGGAAGGAGCAGTGGGATGGTTGCCAGTGATGGGAAGAGAAATAGGAAAGCTGAGTAACATGGGAAGGAGCTACACATTGAAGCTTGGTTTTGGAAGATAGTGTAGATGGGAGCTGGAGCATCAGTGAAGTGTCTACAAGGTAACTAAAAGCGTCAGATAGGCAAGAGTGAAAGGGGAGAGAGAGGGTGGAAAGCAAGTGTATTGGAAGATGCTGGCACTGGATTTGAGAAGCAGGAGTCTCTGTTGCTGTATATAATACTACAGCAGTGTAAAAGACTGGAATTTATTCTTGTTGATGTGCTAATAAGAGCTCAGGGGTTTATATTTTACCTCTCTGGAAACTGAGTAGCTGCATAGTGAAGAGATCTGCCACAGCAGACGTAAACCAGTTGTTGGTTGTTTGAAAGGTCTCACCTTCTGTCCCTCTTGTGCAGTCAAGGGACTTGTAAAGCAGTGTGAGCATTCAGAGTTGCAGGCAATTCCTGTTCTAACCCTTGTCCTACACTGTTCTTTGGAGTTCTCTTAAGCTTAACTAGCTAATGCTCCAGTGGCAAAATATAAATGCTATCATACATGTTGCTAGGAAAAAGGATGGCATTTTTAAGTGTGTTTAGGGGTATCCAGTGGTGAGGTGCTTCAGGATGAAGGTTTAATTCTCAGTTTATTCCCCCTCAGTTGTGCTCATGCAGATTGCCTTTCAGTAACACAGAAGAAATAATGATCAGTTCTTTCACTCTTTCCTGCATTTTTCTTAAGTTAACAGATTTGCTATTTAGAAATACATTTTGAGAGAGAAAGATTATTTTTTCTTGGAATTTTTTGTGATATCTGTGACTAAGGTATCTCACTAGTAATTAAGAAATAGGTTTCTCATAACCATATTGTACTTCTTTTTGTGCCATCGATATATCTCTTCCCAACCTTTATCACCTAGCAACTTTTTATGCATTCAAGCTTAATTTAATATTAGTTGCAGGCTTTTACATAGTTATTCTAATCTTAGTTCTTTTCAAAAGGAGGGCAAATTACAGAAACAACTCTTGTGAGATACAAACTCCTAGATGATGATACCAATTTGCTTTTCATAGTTAGGCACAATAAATTACTTTTCAGTACAGGTGAAATGAGCTGCACTGATATGTTTCTTCTTTCATGGGTTCTAGGACAGGGATGAAGAGCTAGCAGTCATGAAACTGAAGCAACATTTAAGTTTTTTTTAACTTCATATTTATCTGCTTGAAAAGCTGTATGGAAAGCTGTATGGAAAGCTGTATGGATAAGTTATTTTCCTATTGTCTTTTAATTTCCTCTTACCTGTGAGGGATTTGTACTTAACTTTGTGATGAACCCTGAATCCTACAGGTGTTGCTTTTTAAAAAAATTCATTATGTAAAAAAAAGAGTGTCTCTGTGTAGGAAACAAGGAAACCTCTTGAGTCAACTAAATTTTTGATAAAGCAAATTATATTTTTTATGGCCTGATTCAGTATTAGATGATTGCAGTCTCGTGCCTCCCTAATTTCATCCATCAGTGGACTTATTTCAGCATAAACCTGGTACACGGGATGGCAGAATTATCCTCTCTGTGTGTAATTATTCTTTAGTCTGCAAGGGTAAAGAAGTGCCTTCTGGAGGCCAGCAGTACTGCCCTATTAAATCTGCTGCAAATGTGATCCGAGGCTTTGAACATTGAACTTTAAGTACTTTAAACAAAACTTTGAAAGTAATTTTTTTTCTTACTGCAAATACACCAAGGATTTGTTACAAGAGAAAGGGTCTAATGCCCTTAGCCTGTAATGAGCCCCACAAAGGCAAATCTTGCCTCTCTGTTTACTCCAAAGCCAGGGAGTTTGCCTGCCTCTTGGCAAGAAATATGTAAGAGTAAGCCCTATCAGAAAAACACAGTTATTAACTACCTTCCCCTAACCTGAATTAAAAACTTCTTTGAGGTGAGTTTATTGTGCTGTCTTCTCTGATGTCATGCTTTTACTGGCTTCTTGTGTGAAAGACAGCCACACTGTATCTCCATATTCATAGGGAGAAGACAGAGTGATAGGCACTAAATATCCACTATGTGTATCTGACAGTAGAAGACAGAGGAGGTTCCCTGTCCTCCAGGCAACCTGCAGCCTGCAAAATCAAGTGTTTTAAAAGCCAGCATTTTAAATGGCCAAGTCAGTTTTTGCCTTTAGAGGTCCTACAGGACGTGTAGCTGCAGCATATGTATTTGCAAGATTTAGCGTTTAATTTGTCTTTTAGAAACCTCATATTATTTTCCTGCTGGTTCTAGTCTTGTCTATATTTCGCAGCTGTATCTGTTAAGGTCAGAGCTATCAAATCTGGTTAGTCCCAGCCTTATTTTAAGAGCAGGCAAGTCTCCTGCAACCCTCTACTTCATTTTAATGGGCCTCTAGGTGCACAAAGCACTACTGTGAAGGAGGCCAGCTATTTAGGTCCCAAAATATGGATTGGTACCTAATTTAGTGTATCCAGGGGTGAAAATGTTGGCTGAGTATTCTCTCTCCCTGGGACTCCTATTCCGTGTATTGCTTCTTGTAGTTGAGATGGGAGCTGTCATTCACTTTATGCGAGTACAGAAGCCAAGTGGGTCAGTGCCTCCAGGTACTGCTGTATTTTATACATCCATCCCCACGGGTGAGTTACCAACCCTCTGTTGAATCTTACTGTAGGTACTTTGCTGAAACATTTTAGTGGGGCTCTGCTCAGGTTACCCTGGTCCTGAGGGCTGCTTGAGCCCTGCATGAGTAAAAGTGAGCAAAGCAAGCTTCTCCTCTTCAACAGGTTCCTGTAAGGGAGATCGAGGGAGTTGCCCCTTCTTGGAGACTTGAGCCAGAAGAGGCACAGTGGCGAAAGCAGCCAGAAGACAAACTGTGAGTCCGAACTGTATATAATTCTCTACCCTAAGCTCATTTGTTGTTTGGTTCAGCTTTCCTCTCTTCCCTGAGCCTCTTCTACTCAGCTTCACTCCTAAGTGGATCATCTTTATCCACTTCCTGCAGACCTTCCTTCATGCTCCTTTCATTCAGCTGGTCTTTTCCCACGGAACACAGAACCCCACATCTCACTGCCAGTCCAGCTGCGGGGGAGCAGAAGACTCAAGCACACGCATCTTCCACTGAGACACAGGAGCTTGCTGCTTGCTTGCTCCAGGTCTGTTTCAAGGCAAGAGGGAACTAAAATAGCTTTAAACACTTATTGCTGTTGAAGATGAACATGTGACTACCTCAAACTGCATCACCACTAAAGGCTTAAAAATAACGTGGTCTGCTGCCATCTGCTTACACATCTTTCCTCCACCCTCCGTTGCTCTTGTCACTTCAGGCTGTTGTAAGCTCTTCAAAGCAAAGATGGTCTTCTCTGCCCTTGCAAAAGGCATGCCACTGTGGCACCTTCCCTACCCCATCTTTGCTTAGCTCTCATCTTGCACTGTACTACAAATAAGAGAGTTGACAGTTTTATAATTTAATCTTAATGAGGATGTGGATTGAAGCAAACAGGACTTTCATTTTGTGGTATCTGCCCAGTTGTAACTCATCCCTAACATGAATTTGTTGGTCACACTAAGATCTCAGGTATTGATCAATGATGTAATTGCCATCCTATAGTAGGACAGATGATGTAATTCTTACCCAGTTACTGAAGACAGTGACCTTGAGACAGATCAGATGGTTGAGTAGCATAGATGGTTCACTGATTATAAAATGCCCTTGTTTTAAAAGTAAACTGTCATCTGTTAATTATTGGGGAGGAACAACTACAACAAAATGCTAGCATGTCACAAAAGATATAGCGTATCTTGACTTTTACCAGCAGTTACATATTTTTGTTTTGACAGGTGACTTTTGATGGTTTTGTTGCTTTTTTGCTTTGGCCATAATTTCAATTTACATTAGGATGGCATTAAACCTGACTTCTGTGAGCCTAAGGAAAATATTTGGTTTGTTAACCAGCCACACATGAAAAAAAAAAGAAAAAGTAAAGGTGTATGTGATAGGAGATATTCTGGTAGATGGGAGGAGAATATATGGCGAAGTTTTGCCAAAGGGAAAGACTGGTTCCTCCCTAGTTCCAAGCAGACATGGCTTAAATTTACATTTGAGTAAGAGGTAGCATCACTTTTCATTTGAATACTTAATAAAAGAGAAAAGTGACAAGCATTGACCACCAGCTTTAGCATCTAGATAAACAGTAGGCAAAACTCAAGAAAGTCATGGAGATAAAAGAAATAAAACCACTTGCTATGGTTGTTAATAATGTATTAGGGGAAAAGACGTATTTTTCTTAAAGTGGAAAGAGGTTATGAGAGACTCCAGTACAAGCATAAGAAACATTCAGTTATGAGAAGCATGGATCCTAAGAAGAAACAAAAGGTTTGAAAAGACAAATGGTTGAAGAGCTATTTTTGGTTCTACTGTTAGTATTTTCTTCTTAACAACTAATGTTCTTCTGGCCTAACATTTGCTGGTTTGTGTCAGAATTTTATTATTTCGTTCCTCTCTTCTTAGTCAACTGGCACATTTGCAAGATAAGTATTAAACTGAAAAACTTAGCGAAGACAACTTCTCAAGCAGATCATTACTAAAAGTAGTGGAAGAAATTAATAATTTGCATGGATTTGTGACCTAATAAAGAAGACTACAAAAGAGTAATCTGTCTAATTAATTACTGCAATGAATTGATCTTAGGAAATCATAGAGTCATAGCTCAGTCAGAATCTATATTTTCCCCTTCTCTCTGAGCCAGACTTTTCTCTGGTAGCTTGTGTTTGAAACTAATGAATATTGCAGGCAAGAATTTATTTTTTCTGAGTTCTATGAGCATGTACTTTCTATTGCTGAGATACACTTCCCTGTTTTATGGACTTTTCAGGTCTTCTGTTTTCCCACAGTATTTGCTTAATGTAATATTGTCGAATATCCAGGGGATTCCTAATGTGTATTATCTTACAGTCTGCTAAAAGCAGTTGTCTGGTTCTTTATGTTCAAAGGACCTTGTGCTTGAAAATACTTCATGCTGTGCCTTAGTGAGAATTTCAAGTTTCAGAGGAATGAAATAAGAACTCTGATGGATGTGGTCCCTTCAGTAGTATTTCTTTTCTAAATGGGCAATAAATCTAGATGTGGATAGTTGAAATTGTGAGAAAGTCTTGAAAAGGAGGAAATTGCTTTAATTCTGTAACCAGAACCAGAAAACCTCTGTGTTTTCACTCTCTGCCTCAGGGATTAAGCATGGGTCTTCATTTTTTAGCAAGCTTCTGTAGAGGAGTGCAGCCATTTCAAAAATTAAATTTATTTGGCAGGCAGAGGTTCCAGTTGTGTGGGGAACCCTTCTTCACTGATGCTGAGATCCGTGAAGATCTGCTCTCCTCTATGGTTTCATTGCCACAGCTTTGCATGAGCTGGGCAGCTGCCCTCCCTCATGGTTAGAATAACAGACTCATTACTGTTGGAAAGGACCTTTAAAATCATTGAGTCCAACTGTTAACCTCACCTAGTCCACCACTAAACCATGTTCTTAAGTGCCCCATCTGTGTGTTTTTTAAATACCTCTGGGGATGGTGACTCAACCACTTTGCTAAGCAGACTGTTCCCATGCTTGGTAACTCTTTCCATGAAGAAATTTTTCCTACTATCCAATCTAAACCTCCCCTGGCACAGCTTGATGCCTTTTCCTTGACCTGTCACTTGTTACTAGGGAGAAGAGGCCAGCCCCCACCTGGCTACAGCCTCCTTTCAGGCAGTCATAGAGGGTGATAAGGTCCCCAGTGACTCTCCTTTTCTCCAAGCTAAACAACTCTAGCTTCCTCAGTCTCATCAGACCTGTGCTCCAGACCCTTCCCCAGCTCTGTTCCCCTTCTCTGGACCTGCTCCAGCTCCTCAATGTCTTCCTTGTTGTGAGGGACCCAAAACCGAACACAGGGTTGGAGCTGTGGCCTCACCAGTGCTGAGTACAGGGGGACAATCACTGCCCTGGTCCTGCTGGCCACACTATTGCTGATCCAGGCCATGATGCCATTGGCTTTCTTGGCCATCAGAGCACACCTGGGCAAACACTGGCCCATGTTCAGCCAGCTGCTGGCCAGCAGCCCCAGGTCTTTTTCCACTGGGCAGCTTTCCAGCCACTCTGTCCCAGGCCTGTAACATTGCATGGGGTTGTTGTGACCCGAGTGCAGGATCTGGTACTTTGCTTGTTGGACCTTATAAAACTGCTTCAGCTCATTGATTCAGCCTGTCCAGATACCTCTGCAGAGCCTTTCTACCCTCCAGCAGATTAATACTCCCACCCAACTTAGTGTTGTCTGCAAACTGACTGAGGGTACATTCAATCCCCTTGTCCAGATCATAGACAAAGACATTAAGCAGAACTGGCCCCAATAGATGAAGCATTATCATCCTTGCTGTTGTTTGGTTCCACCTGGATAGCCTCATTCCAGTTATGCCAGGGCACCTGGGAAGGTGGGGCAGTCACATTAGGGAACACGTGTGCTGTGCTGGGAAGGAATTTGCCACCATTGGCCCCTGTCCCTAATGTGACTGTGTTCAGCCAGCTGGAGAGAGGCCAGGGTATCTTCTGTATCGTGTATCCTGTCTGCCTGCTGGGCCTGTCCGAGGGAAGGTAGGTAGGGTGCAGTTTCAGTATTCTATCTCTCTCTCTCACTGATGCTCCTCAACCCACTCCTCTTTGAGCTCTCTCACTAAGTGGAGGAGTTCTTCTACCTGGGCACAAGTCCTACAGCTGTTCTCACTGCTACTGGCTGTTACAGGCACAGTATTGCAGATGAGGTACAGAAAGGCTGAAGGACAGGGATCATAAGGGATCAGTGATGCTAAGGGTTGACTTCACAAATTTGCCAAATAATTTTTATCCTTGGAGCCTTTATATATTCAGAGACAGTGGCACATCACTGAACACTTTCTCCCTCTATAGTACTGCTTCAGAGAGTGAAATTTGCTCTGGGGCTCTGGAGCAGACTTCAGTCTGTGTATCAGCTCCTAAAGTCCAACTGTTTAACCTGCAGCACACCCCCTGCATTTTACTTCTGCACTTAGTCGAACTGTTTTGTTGTTTAAAAATAAAACGAAGTGACAGTGCTTGTCCATGAAGCTTTCACTTCATGCGAATTCCTTTTTATTTTCTCATTTCTCTGTCAGCTACTGCCTTGCCCTGCAAGTTTAGATAGCAATTGTCAGGAGATTTAGACCTTCAGATGATACTTCACATTAACTATTTTTCTCTCTTTTTCTCTCTCTTTGCTGACAAGGGTGTTGAAAAAAACCCAATTCTCTAGCAAAGTCATGGGTAATAAATCAAGCCATTTGTCCCAAATCTCTCTCCTCTCTACAGCTTTTAAAAGCTGTTTCACAGCATGGAAGTGGAGGTTAAACCCTGGGATGTTTTTCCTGCACAGGGAGTTTGTACATGGCTCTTCTCACCTGTGTTCAATGTATGAGTAGAGACAAGACTTATTCTTGTTGAAGGTTGCTCCAGGTATCTGGGAGAGGGGAAGAGCCCAAACCTCTACTGTATTGCATCCACTGTGATCTCAAGCTCAAGGATGCTTTTTCCAGATGCTCACTTGCTCCAGGAAACCTTTCTTTGCTTCAGAGCCCTTTGCTCCCCTGCCCTGTGAGTGTTTTAGACATGCTGGGTAGACTGTCCCTTGAGATGTCCTGTTGCAAACTTACTGATATTGTAGGGTGTCTGTTGGGGCAAGTCCGTAACAATCTGAACCTTAAATAATTGTGTTTCTTTAGATACAGGGAGATACTTTCCTATCTGATGTAAGTTGCTATAGCTCTTCAGCCTAGAAAAACTGATGTAGGTTTGCACCAAAGCACTATCTGGTGAATTATGGTGATGGAAATCTTCC